CACTAAGAGACAATATTAGAAACACCGAGATAAGACGTAGAACGAAGATTGATGTTATTGTGGAAGAAATTACAAAAATGAAATGGTGCTGAACAGGTCACGTAACCCGATAAAATGACAACAAGTGGACATGGAGAATTCTAAAATGGAGACCAAGGACCAAGGTAGATGACATAAGAGAAGTGATAGGTAAACAGTGGATCAGATTGGCGCAAGATAGAGAAAGATGGAAGCAATTGGGAGAGACCTACATTCAGGAGTGGATGGAAAATGGTTGACAAAGAAGAGAAGAAGATGGGGCTTACAAACATGTGAAGAGATAGAAGACTTATAGAAAAAACGCAATGACAGACTTCTCCACAAGAAAACAAAGGAATTAACTGGAAATAGAAATAAAAGACAATATAGGGTGAAAGGGTACTGACAATATAAAAAAAAATAAAGGACGAATGGAAAACATATACTAAATCTATTCTGAGACAGCACGGAAAAAATATCGACAGACGTTTGAACAAACATTTATAATAATTGACCTATTCTAACATCAGAAAATAAATATACATTGAAAACATGAAAACTGAAAGGGCACCTGGTCCAGATTATAATATGAAAACAGATCTCCTTAATAATATATATACAGGGTGGCCTATCCTATACGCCTCGATCTCTGTACGGAAAACGACTTAATATCCAAAGATTTTTTCTTCGCAGAATTATACAGAGTCATTAAGATTACAATTTATAAATAATGTGAATTGTACAGATTGCTCCAAAAAGATTGGTCTATCAAAGTTATATTTTTTCCTATGGAACACCCTATATTTGATGACATTTTTTAATTGTCCGTAAAACATAGCCTATACTTTTATAAGGTTTCTTGATACCCATAATATTGGGTGCTTTGGTTTATTTCGTTTTTTTTTTAATTAGCCCTTCTGCATAAACTTCTTTAGCTTGTTGAATACATTTTGCTACATTATTTTTATTTATTTTGTACCATATTTATAGACATTTATATATTTTTTATACTTAAAACAGCATTAGACAGTAGTATAATAAATAATTTTATAAACTACGAATCGCCACAAAACTAATCGTCTCTTGACATTCTCAGTTTTGGCAAAAATGTACCGATTCAAGAAACAATTTCATAAAGTGGTAGTGTCGCATACTTAACCCTACTGTCTTGATATTTACAAACAATGCCTTTATTCACTCCGATCTTTGACCCCGTAAGGGGTATGGTAACAATATTTTGTCACAACACGGGTGGTAACTTTCCATTTCGATCTCTGTGTATTGTACTGCATATCTGCATAGTTTACAGGGGTCGGCAAGTAATTTTATGTGGCGTCCGGATACTAGAAGAAAATTTGAACAAGGTCCAGAAAACAAAAACAAATGATAACATTTAATGACAAGATGTTTATTATTTTGGTACATTCTTAATGATAAAACAAAAGACCTTAAATTAATGCGAAAAATTGCACCGACGGTCTTGAGCTGCTTGTTTGTGGTCTGGTTCTCGAGTCTAACAACGAATTCGAAGTGTATCTTCGAGGTGGGCGTCCGTTAATCGGGAGAGATATTTGTTTTCCAAAAAACTCATTTTCGAGAAAGACGTTTCGCACATATACGTTGTGCCAAACATTTTTATATTTTGCTGGCACATGTTTGGCCCAAAATTCTTCGTCGGATACCGATTTATATACGTGCAAGAACAAATCTTCTTGTAATTCAATAATCTCAATTTGAAGTAATTCTCTCATATGGCAGGCTCATAATATGTCCATTCTGCCGCTGCATCAACTTCAAAGGTGATTTTAGAAATGAAGATAGTTTGCTTACCTGTGCCAAGTCTTGGAATCTTGAAGCAAATTCGTGCCTAAGATCGCCCATAAATTTTACGAACACTGTAATGTCTTCTTCGGAGTACTCCTTATTTTTATTATATTCAAGAATAGTTGGAAAATAAATGAATTCTTGTTGTGCAATATATTTTTCAAAGATATCTTGCTTACGACGAAAAGCAGACACGCTTTTTATCAGATCACGTACTAATTTTCCATTTCCTTGTAACTCTGTGTTAAGCGCGTTCAGATATTTTAAAATATCTTTTAGAAAAAGCCACAACCAGCATGTTGCTCTTTTTTGTTATATACTCAAATTGTGCCTTGGATCGTATCTATATGTTGTAAAAACGATTACACATGCTCTTTTATTAGCCAGAAACGTTCAATAACTTGAACTTTACTTAACCAACAAGCATTATTGTGTTGTAGTAAGTCAGAATACGCTGAATGACATTCAGAAAGAAACTTCTTGAAATATCGGTGATGAAGAGCAGAATGAGATCTCATAAAATTAATTAACTTGACTAAACTGTCCATGACTTCTTTGAGTGTAGCACTAAGTTTTCCACAAAGGGCTCCCTGGTGCACTGATATGTTATTAAATTTGAATTTTTATCCGTGATCCTCTTTACTACACCTTTTTCTTTGCCAATCATTGCTGGGGCCCCATCAGTAGAAAGCGACATCATTTTATTATGTTATTAACTGATGTTAGATTTAGAAATTAATTCATCAATAACCTTCTCCTCGAGTGTTACCTTTCAGCGGCAATATTAGACTCAATAATAAGAAATCTTACAAAAACAGACATTTGTTCACCATCAACAACGTCACATGATTCGTCAAGTCCTATGGCGTAGCAAGGTGCCTTGTGCAAAAGATTAAGAAGAGAGTTTTTAATATCCGCAGCTAAAATTTCCGTTCTTCGTGTATTACTTCGCGCTGACAATGAGATGCTTTGAATTTCTGAGGTAACATATTTTTTTCTTCAAAAAGTGAGTTAGCTACTTTTTTAGTTTGCATCCGCATATTTTTCTATTCGTTATCTCAGTTTTAAACCATCACTTTTGATAATTTAAAAACAAAGTTTGCATTAAGTGGTTAAATAATAAAAATAAATTATAAAATGTAAATAGTATTTCATAGATTATAACATTCTCTAGTCTATTCTTTATGAATCACCCTGTATTCACCGAGTCTTTGAACTTCTATCGGAGTGTTATTTAACGCCAATAAATTATAGAGATAAATAATGGATCGCTGCTATAAAGGAGAAAGTTTTTTTAAAGTGAATTGAAACTATTTTTAGACCAATTAAAGACCAAAATGGTCCTTGAAAAATGTTTTAATTTGGTTAATTGATTTTGTAAATAAGACAGTTGAATTGCGACAGTTTTATAAATTGTCAAGGAATGTATCAAATAGTAATGGACAGTTTATTGCAGAAGACGAACATATGTCCTAAAATATTTCAATAACAATGCCTCATTCATCCCGCTTTTGCATTGTTTTTGTACAAGGTCAAAGGTCACAAAATTTTCATTTTATTCGAATATCTCTGAAACGGTGAAAGCTGCCGGAAAAAATTTTAAGAGAAATTTGTAGATCGTGAAATTATTGTACTGTTTTTATTAATCTAATTTATTGTCTTTATTTATTGTAAAAGGGTTCTACACTTTACAACACTTAAAAGTTTATTAAAGTCTTTATTAATTTATATATATATATATTATATATATATATATATATATAAAATATATATATATATATAATATATATATAAATATATATATATATATATATATATATATATATATATATATATATATATATATAATATTCACTAATTTATTTCACACTATTTATTTCCCGCGTTACAATTTAAACTCTATACAATTATCTTTTCTTCGACTGACTTGTTTGCAAAAAAATGTCTATATATATATGTATATATATATATGTATATATATATATGTATATATATATATATATATATATATATATATATATATATGTATATATGTATATATATATATATATATATATATATATATATATATATATGTATATATGTATATATATCAAACAATCGCTATTCAGGAACTCCGGCGACACCTTTCGAATAGACGAGAAGGTCACGCCAGACCTTTATTTATCGTAACATTATCTAAAAAAAAAAAAGGTATACTTTTTAGCCATAAGTTTTAATTTTTCTGAACGACAACCCTGTAAGCTCTCAGCAAAGCCGTTACAATTAAGAGCACAATAAAGAACGTGTGAAGAGATTTTGGTTGAGTTTACCGAAAGTACAAGCAATATAGGCGCAAATGTCAAAAATTTTCGGTTTGGCAGTGTTGGCATGTTTTTACATTGCATATATTGCATGCTTCAAATATAAAGAGATAAAGCTTTTAAAAAGTACATTTTCAATACACTGTTTTATAAATTCTGCAATTTTTAATTTATATGAAACAATAACGAGTAGATATTTGTCTCTTTCGAAATTAATTGCAAACATCTGTTGTAATCTGGTAACTGCTGATTTGACGATTGCCAAATCTATCCCCTAATCTATCAAAGGGTAATTGCTAAAAAATTTCTAATAATTCAAATTATATATAAATCTTATAAATATATTATAAATAAATCTGCAATTAATCTCAAAAGAAACAAATATTTACCCATTGTTGTTTTATATAAATTAAAAATTGCAGAATTCATAACATAATATATAAACAAAATGTACTTTCCCAAAGCTTTTTCTTTTTATATCTAAAGCATACAGCATCTACATTATAAAAACATGCCAACACTGCTATATCGAAATTTTTTGTTCCATGTTTGACATTTGCGGCTATGATCAGCTTGTACTTTCGGTAACCTCAACCGAGATTTCATCTAACAAGATATTTATTCACCCTATCGATCAATTATTTACCACCCAATTAACCAGCGACAACAATCAATTTTAGTCAACAATTTAAACATAAAGTCTATTTCACGTCTAACTAATTTATTAGTAGCTCCATCAGCAATATCCAGGTATACAATAAACAATCTTCATTTTGGTAATCTGAATCAGTTGTTTGTTACATTACAATACTTTCAATACTAGTTCTAAACAAATGTTTTAATATTCCTTTTCAGCAACAAAGTTTGTACCTACACTTGACAATGATTTCAATTGTCAATTCACCGAACACAGTCCCTGCAACTTATTATGGTCGTTGCGGGACTGGCAGATAGATAACGACTCCCCAAAAACGAAGGAAGTGATTTTTGATAGACGTTGGGAAGGTAAGTCAATTTGTTGCTAAAATATTATGCATGTATAACTGGTTCCATTTTTATAGCAAGTGTTTTTTTTTTATCTAAAATAGCTTTTGTTGTTTATGATTTATCACATATTGACAGCTAAATATCTCAATTAAAAATTTCCTTACTGTTGTACCAAAACATGTATAACTGAGAATTTCATAGATGATAAAATGTATGAGTCTCCCAAGGGTCTTCTAATGCCATCCTTCATTGCTGATACTTTTTTGTATGTTTACTTGACTTTTCAACCGTATCCACTAACACCCAAAATATATGATCTTGAGGTTCAAACTTTTTTTTATCTCCAAACATCTTTTCAAACTAGATTTATATATGGGCATTTTCGTTTTTAACTTTAAATATTTTTCTGTATTGCATCGTTAAGGTTGCTTATGAACCTAGCGCTAACCGACATAGACGAGGGAATACTTTTAAACGGATAACGATTGAACATCATAAGATACGCTGATGATACTATCATTTTTGCAGACAGTCTTGAAGGTCTGCAGACACTTGTCTTCAGGGTGGCAGAAGAAAGTAGCAGGTTTGGGCTTGATTTTAAGATCAAAAAAACCAAATACATGGTTATAAGCAAAAATAGGTTACCACCTTGTCAATTACTAGTTAACCAACAACCTATAACATAAATCGCCAACTTTTGTTATCTGGGTGCAAACTTAAATTAACAGTAGGACCAATTAACGGAAATTAAGATAAGAATCGAGAAGGCAAGATCAGCTTTCGTCAAAATGAAAAAAATCTTTAACAGCCACGATATAAAATTGGAAATAAAAGTTCGTTTACTAAAATGCAACGTATTCTTCGTTCTTTTATATGGCGTGTAGTCATGGACCTTAACTGAAGCATCACTGAAGAGACTCGAAGAATTTGAGATGTGGTGCTATAGACGCATGTTGATGATTTCCTGGATAGACAGAGTTACCAACGAAGAAGTACTACATAGAATGGGTAAAGAGCTCGAACTAGTCGTAATCATAAAACGTCGCAAACTGGAGTACCTGGGCCATATAATGCGCAGTGATCAACGATATGACCTACTTCGCACCATACTTCAAGGTAAAGTGCAAGGGAAAAGAGGTCCAGGACGAAGAAGAATATCCTGGCTGCATAACCTGCGAAAATGGTTTAACGTAACCACTACCGGACTTTTCAGGGCAGCAGTCAACAAAGTCAGAATAGCCAAGTTAGTGTCCAACATCCGTAACGGATAGGCACCGTAAGTAAAAGAAGGATGCGTTTTCCACTGACTTTTTGCTTTGTGTTCGTTAGTCTTTATGTGGAAATAATGTAGCATTCTTTGTCGTTTTCATTCTTTGCTATCCCGTTGGAAATACGTAATATCTCAAATATTCCCACTATAATCTAGAGGATTAACTCTCGGAACCTAAAACACCCTAAAAACCTCCTGTTTAACCTTGGAAATGTACGAATACCCATACCTAAAACCATAAACTTCACCCACCGTCAATTACTGTTCTATCTGTCAACTGTTTGCCACGGGAAAACAGCCGCAACTATTACATCTAAACTTGGAAAGTAACGCTAATGCACCACCTGCTAAACAGTCAGCTCCTCTCTACTCCGACTCAGATAATCATCTCAAGCAACCTTCCATCTATGTAGCAATCCAGCCAATTCAAAACCCCTAAGTCGACATTGTAGTTAACAAAAAGTCAAACTAAAAATTCTTAACGGGGACATCATGTCATGTTCTAATCCTATTGTAACTAAAGCTCCTGAAGGTTCTGTTGTTCCTTTCTGAACCTGTACTTCTCTGTTTATTCCATTATAATTACTGGGGTCTTTTTATCGCCTTTCTGGAGATGTCAGGAAGTATCTCCCTAGCCATTGCTGTCCTGTTCCTTTCTATTTTGTTTCTTGTATTTGACATATGTCAAATTTTTATTTTTTTAATTCCCTTACTATTTTTGGTTTATGTTACCATGTTTTTAATGGTAGATTAAAAATCTTCTTCTTCTTGTTCTTCCTCTTTATAAGCAATTCTGCTTCAGACAAGAGGCTTCTGCAAACCTCTATGGAAGGTTGTCACTCCATCTTTTGCGTGGTTGTCCGATACTTCTTCTGCCAATTGTTGATTTATCTCTTGTTATTTTGACGACACCGGTCTCCTTCATTCTTCTTATGTGGTTATGTGGATCTCTCATCGTATTTCTTGTAATTCTCAGTGCTCTCATCTCTGCCGCTTCCAGTAGCCTTTGCGTTGTAGCTGTGTCGGGTCTTGTCTCTGAGGTATATGTCATTATGTGTCTTACACTCGCTTTCTTCTTCTTCTTGTGGTGCCTATCCGTTACGGATGTTGGCTACTAGTATGGCAATTCTAACTTTATTGACCTCAGCTCGTAATAGTCCTGAAGTGATCAAGGAAAATCATTTTCGTAAGTTCTGGAGATAACAGATTCTTCTTCCTGGTCCCCTCTTTCCGTAGACCTTTCCCTGTAATATAAGTTGCAGCAGGTTATATCTATGATCGTTTCGCATTATATGTCCAAGATATTCTAGCTTGCGCTTGCACTAGCTTTAGCCGGTGTAATTCCCAGGCATTTTTATTTCCATTACTTGCTCAATGCTGGTTCTTTGCTGACTACTATTGTTTTAGTTTTCTGAGATGAGATTGTCATATTAAATTATTTTGCTCTTATGTTAAATATGTAGATCAAACGCTTTTTTAGGTCAATCAGACACAGAAATGCTGGTCTACTGTACTCTAGTGATTTCTCAATAATTTGCTTTATAACGAATATTGCATCTGTACACGACCTTCCACTACGAAAACCCTGTTGTTCATCAGCTAAACTTATCCTCTGATTTATTAGCACTTTTCTAATTTATTAGCAAATTTTAGTAAAATTTTAGTTATAAGTTTTAGCGTAGTATTTAACTTAGATATAAACGGCTAAAAGATAATATTAAAAGAAATCGATCTTCCCATACTATTTCACTAAATTCCTATCCGGTTATAAATAAGAGACTGGAAGACATGCAATAGATGTAAATCGGTTTTTGGTCTTCCATTTTTGTAACTAGAATCTTTTGGCACTTCTCGAATATCATTTTCATATACCTTGTTGTTGCCTACATATTATGTTTGTATTGTTGCATTGATCGTCACGGGATAAAATAACACAGTTCCGTTTTAAATGCACAATCTAACAACAATCTATTTGTCGTTTCTGTTAAATTTCACAGTATCTTTACTCCCTTATTTTTTTTTTCAGATTTACCCATAATTTTTATTTCCAACACTTCAAAAGAGTTTGAAGAAAAAATTGATTTACGTAATATTCTAACGCAAGCGTTTTCAGTACGAGCAGAAGGTCTGGTAGAAATTTTTGTTTGTTCGGGCTCCGACCCTTACACTTATCCCTGTTATTATTTCTATATTGACTACAACGATATTTACTTCAAGTATTACGCTAAGATTCCAAAAGATGTCAAGGAGGACGTCAAAAAGAAGCCTTCGCAACACGTCAAGGTAAGTCAAATGGTTATTATATCGGGAGTGTATTCATATATGATAGTTCCTGTTGCCAGATTCTAAATAAGCATTGTAAAATTGGTTGTTTACTTCTGGAAATTTACTTTATGTGTGCATTTAAAAGTTTTTTAGAATTTCAGCGTGTTTGTCCTATATAAATACGCTTTTGGTAGTATTGTTCTCGTGGATTTTTTTCAGTGTCTCATTTCTTCTTAATAAGCACACCAGATCACGACAAAATATTCGTTCCTCATTATTTCTCAAAGAAAACAAGCATATTATATCATCCAAGTATGTTCATATAGTCAGAACGCATATTTATTTATTTGAACTTGTTTTTTAAATTAAAATATTTAGCATTTAATTTGTTGTAATTATATTCTGGAAAAATGTATTTATACCTATATACCAAAATATTCTGAAAAAAAAATAATAAGAATTGATTTTAAACACGCTGAGATATTTTGAGTCCGAAAAAGAAGCTTGACAAACTTTATGACTTATGGCGTATGTTGCAGCTTCTCTAGTTAGGTCTTGTATTATTTTTTCTCTTGTTTTTTCCGGTATTCGTTGTAATGTTTACGTTTTTTTAAGTCCAAAAGTAACCATTTTATTTGTATAAAAATGTGTATATCTCATCGATGCTCGTCTTTTCTTTTATATTTTTTTGCCTCTTTTTATATATTATTCCTTGCTGTGTTTCCAGTTATTTTTTTATTTTTGATTATATATTTGTGCCGTGTGTTCCATCGATTATAATCGTTCACAATAGGACCGAGAGAGTCACAAATATCGAGGTCTTGAGAAGAGTGAATAAAGAAAAGGAAGTCATATTTACGATCAAAAAACGAAAACTGCAATACTTGGGACACATTACAAGAGGCGAAAGATATGAACTGCTTCGAATAATTATGCAAGGGAAAATAGCAGGAAAAAGGTCCATAGGAAGAAGACGAAACTCCTAGCTAAAAAATGTACAGGAATGGTATAGCTGTAGCAAAAACGAATTTTTTCGGTCAGCAGTTTCGAAAATACGTATAGCCCTGATGATCGCCAACCTTCGGAACAAAGATGGCACTTGAAGAAGAATAAATTTTTTGCATATTTTTTGCGCTCCCATAGTTAACATTCTTGGCAATTCAGCCTGTTCGTATGATTTTTAGAGGTTCAGTAGCATTTTCGTCTGACGACTGGAGTCTTATCATCATAATCAGTGGCATTGCAGCTCGTTATGAGCCAAAGCCTTCTTCAGAACAATCTTCCATTCGCCTCTGTCTCTGGCAACTCTTCTCCATGCTTTAACTCCGATGGATTTTAAAACATCCTCTATGTTATTTTGATACTTTAATTTTGGTCTTCATCTGGTTCGTCTTCCCACTGGTCCTATTCGGTCGAAAAATTTTCTGATCGTTGCATCTTCATGTCGCCTAATTACATGTTCTATCCATCGAAGTCGTGCTAATTTAAATATGCGTAAAAAACTGATAGTCGAGGGTAGAGTTGAAGGAAAAAGACCTAGGGGAAGATCTCCAAGTCGTTGGGTAGATCAAACAAAAACATTAATTAACCAAGGGTTACACGAAGCCGAACAACTAGCCCACGACAGAGAAGGATGGAGGGAAATCCTAAAAAAAACTGGTGTCTAAAAAAAAAAGGTCTGATGGTGTCACCACATCCCAAAAGGGATTAGGACTGAGGAGGAGGAGTCGACTTCGAACTCATGCGTTTTCTCAAGAATCTGCCTGACTGTGAAGATTTGATCCGTTGTTGATTTATTGGGTCGGAAACCGCACTGGTAGTTCCCAACTATTTGTTTAGCATAGGAGCTTATATACCACGTTAAGTAGGGTGAAGCCTCTATAATTATCACATACCATCATATCTCCCTTTTTGTGAAGAGGGTTCATTACACCTAATTTCCAGACTGCGGGCGATTCCTTCCGTTGCCAGATTTCGGTTACTAATGCATGTGTTTAAAAAGGGTGTCTACTACCATTTTTAAAGAGTTCTTCAGGAAGATTGTCCAAACCAGGGGCTTTGTTATTTTTCAGTTTTGAGTATATATGTAGATACAAAAAATGGCTTTTGTTATGTAGAAGGTAGTCTATATTTTAGAATAGAAACAGTCGGAATTTCATCTAAGTAGGTGATTCACAGTCGATGCGTGATTATAATCGGTTGATTGGGAGAAAATTAAATATAATTCGGTCTTGCATTATAATTAATTTTGGGACAACTTTTATAAATTTATATCACCAACTAAAATTATTTTTAGGCCGCTTCGAGCGTAGTATCACCGGATGAATGGAGGAATTTCGTTATAAATTACGGAGGCTCTAGTCTGGTACAACTAATTGATTTTACCGCTAATCTTAAAAGGGTCTTAATTGAATATTTTATCGATGAGCCAATGACCGCATCGTATATGTTTATGAGGAGTTCGAATTCAAGTCTATGGAAATTGCATCAAAGTAAGTTTGATTTTATTATACGAAGTAAAACGTCGTAAAAGTTTTTCGAAATTTACCACTTTTTAGTGGCGGCTTATGATGTAAATTGCTGATATTATTTTCAGATAGCTTTATGTTTACCAATACAACTCAGATTTCCAGACTGGGCCCAATTCTGACCATCCCGAGTAAAGATTTGTGCGTTTCCTTGTTAGTCAAGGTTTGCAGCTATTGTGAAATTAAATTTCTGTACCTCAACAAGACTCGGCGAGTTTTGAAAGTAGTCGCACCGACACAGGTAAACTCGATCCCTAATTTGAACGCCAACAATCCATTTTATCGGCCATTATATATAAATAAATGTGATTTTTAGAATGAAGAATGGGTAGAAGTGAAGTTAAAAGAAGAAAACATCCAGTTTGACAAATTAAATTTGTTCGTTGAAACCAAATATGTAGATGGAAGTTCCAAGACCTCGGATGGCTTCTGGGCTATAGACGATGTAAGAGTCTGCAATGAAAATGGTAAGATGTATGTAGGATATCAAATATTACATCTTATTATTCAAGTTTTTTTGTTGGTTTAGTTGAGTGGGTGTGAAGATTTTTCACGGCGGGAGTTGGGTTTATTAAACGTAATTAAAGATTTCCGCGTTGAATTTAACAGGATTATTTTGTTTAGACAATTGGGATGTTTTCCGATCTCAAAGGCTTTTCGGTCTTAAACGGATCTTTGATCGTCAAACATACTTTAAACTATCTTTATAGTCAATTTATAAAGAATTTTACCTTGTTATTCAAGAAGTTAATTTTTTTGGAAATATTGATCATTCTGTATGAATTGAAAATAAATACTTATAAAAACTGTTTTCTTTCAGAGATAAAAGTGTCATATCTAAAACTGAGTGATACATCACACATATCTGATGATAACATTACGTGTCAGCTCATAAAGAACCCGAGTTGGAAACCTAAAAAAGTAGTTTATACAGGAGTAAAAGGTTAGACGATATATGCCGTGGAAATTTTTCTTTGTACTTAATTTTGAATTGTTGTAGATTTCCCGGAAGTTTTTGCCAAATCTACCAAAAACTCGATTCAATTAAAATGGATTCCAGAAGACAGAAAGAATCCTATTACTTATTTCATATTTTATCGGGTAAGTTTTTGGTTGTACATACTTACGAAAGTGTTTGTATTACTTAATATAAATTGTTATATTTAAAAAAATGTTAAACTGTTTAGTGATCGTTGAAAATATTTACAGAAATTCTCTGGGATTTTCTTTCTAAACCTCAATTATAGTTATTCTTTTCTTTCACTACTTCTTTTCAAGGTTAAGTAGAATATTATTACCATACCACGTGATTTCGTTGTTCTTTAATCCCTCTTTCCCATTTATTTTTTCCTTGAATCGCTCTTTTCTGTCCCAGTCTTCCCGTTGCTCCCTCTTAAAGATCTTGATTAACATTTATCACCCTCTTTTGTTTCTTCTCCTTGTCCCACTTGTCCTTTCTGTCCCACTTTTTCTCATACTCTCTCTCTTTCTCCCTCTAAGACTTTAATTCAGCTTTATCTCTTCTCTTTCTTATTCCTGTACCTCGTCCTTTTCTTCTCCACTTTCTCCTATCTCTTTGTCTCTATAAGACTGAGATGCCACGTTTCCTTTTTGCATTTTATTCATTGAAAGTATGGACCTTCACACAGAAACCAGCTCCTCTTAAGCTTCATTCTTCATTTTTCCATATCTCCCTCCAAGACTTGGTTTATTTTTTAGTCATAAATCTCCCGAGGTTTGTTATAAGTGTGTTATGTCAGTATTTGAATTTTCAAAAGGTAAATCACTATTGTCCCACCTTTTTCTTTCTTTTTCTTCTAACTGATCTCTTTCTGTACAGTCTCCCCTTTTACCCTCCATAAGACTGATATGTTAGGTATTTTCCATGCTATTTTATGTATTGGAAATTTGTACAATGAATAATTATGTTACAGACAGGCAAACATCATTTTCCGGATATTAATTGCTCTCTTTCTCTTTCCTCTTTCTTTCTTCTTCCTCTACCTAGTTCATTTCTAACCCACTATTTCCTTTTCTCGCTCTGTATGATTGAGATGCTAGGTATTTTATATAAAAGACGCTGAAGGTAATTCAATTATTTATATTATATCTCTCGATTATTTCTACTCCTCATTCTTGTCTAATTTGTATCCCATTCTCCATATCTCTATGGGACTGAGATGTCACGCATTTCCCTTTATATTTTTTGTTTCCCCTAAAGACACATATGAGTCCTTTAATACTTTAAAAAATTTGTTTTAGGGTAACGATATCTGCACCAGTGAACCTCACAACAACAAGAGATACAAGTCAAGCGGTTTTATTAGCACCAAACTGAACGACGTGACGATTAGTGACCTTGTGCCTTATACTTATTATAATATTACGATATCGACTGTTTTACATGAGACTGATAAGAAATTATTTTTTAATACATTAGAGACAGGTAAGTGGATATGTCATTACTATTGAGGACGTACAGAAAGTAATAAAGGCATGTGTATAGCATTGTATTTGTTTGTCAAATTTGGCAACGGTGTCACGTATGGATCAAAATAAATCATCATAATGTAATAGTCTAAGATCCCACTGCAGGATCACTAAGTTCATAACGAAGTTAACCAATCTCATATATATTACATGCATTTAAAATTAGGAGAATACATTGATAATAGTTTGCCAATCAAAAAGTGGCCGAAAATATTTTTAATTCAATTAAAAGTAATTAATTTTTTAACAAAAATTTTATTTTATTTTGTAAATAAGATACGCTGCTCATGACGTACAGTACATTCAACCAACTTACACCTCTAAACGATTAACGGAATTCGCAGAAAACCTTTCGATGTAGTAAAAGGCACGGTAAACTACACTGGAGTTCTCCGTAATGTTTAACACTTTGCTAAATTTTAGTTATAATAAATATATGTGTCATTAACCCGTTGTTCAGTTTTGCATATTTTGTTACATTTTTTTAAGAAATAGTATTTTTGCAAACGTAAATTTCTTTCACCTACTTGTTTAATAATTTTTTTCTGAAACAAATACTACCGTGCTATGGATAATTTATATTCAAAGTAGATATACAGTACTAAAATATCACTATTAATTTTGTTAAAAAATACTTCGGAGTAAACTAAAACATATGTCAATTTAAATAGTGGTAGTTAGATTGACCAATATGTCTGTTAGAGTGTACGGTCTTTGAGACGTTTGCGATTACGGGTTAAAGTTAGGGTTTTGGTAAATATATTTAACTTTTTATTTTCAAATGAAAATATTTGTACTAAAAATAAAATAACTTTGGAAAACATTTTAATTTGTTTTATTTACGGTTTCCAACCATTTCCAAACTTTTTATCAAACATAATTAAATTACAATCGGCATTCCTAATGATCATTAAGCTAATTTGCTTAATGCGTTTTGGATCTTTGTAAGCGGTTATATTATATTCTATCTCTCAAGCACAACAGTTAAAAAGTTTTTGTCATATTGATCTAAACTCGGAATATTGTAATTCAAACGTGTAGTTTCAAGTGACCATCATAGACGTAAGGCCTAGACGTAAGTTGGATATTGATGAATTAATTGCAAATGTACATAAATACGTTACCATAGAAAGAGACAATGGTGGACCTTAGTCATTATTATGTAAAAATCAACACGTTTGTGGCGCACTCGGGATAAGTCAAAGTAAGCTAAAGACTGAAATGAAGACTATCAGAGATTCTCAAGAAGATCTTACTATGACTGAGTATCGTGAAGACAAGAAAACAAATCGTAAACATTCTAGGAGCATTGACTTATCTAATGGAGAAAAATTTGAAATTTGCAATATTTTGTATCGAATGCGTGAAAACAATCAACATGTCAGTTTAGATACTATACTGGTCAAAATAAGAGAAAGACAAGTTTCTGAAATTAAGAGGACTAGCCTTTGGAAAGTGTTGATAGATAATAGGTTACTTTTATGCGAAAAGAGTAGTGTGGTTCACAAAAGAATTAAATTTGTGACAGAATATACTAGACTTAAATCTGAAAATGCAACATTCGTATACTTAGATGAGACATGGATATTTGTAAAGGGTGGAATTAAAATAATTTGGCAAGACGACAGCATAAAATCAATAAAACACACAGATAGCGAAGGCAAAAGACACATCATTCTTCATGCAGGAGGGAAAGAAGGCTTTGTAGAAAACGCCGATTTGATTTTTTCTTCAAAATCAAATCTTCTGATTACCATGAAAACATGAATGCAGATATGTTTGTTAAATGGCTTGAGGAGACACTGTTACCTAGTATGAGTGAACCATCAGTTATAGTTTTAGATAATGCTCCTTACCATTCGGATATTTTGGAGAAACAAGCAAAACAGTCGTGAAACGTACCGAGCATAAAAATTGGTTTCTTCTTCTTTCAGTGCCCTGTCCGATTATCGAACGTTGGCGATCATATTGGCAATAATAACCTTATTCACGGCGGCTCTAAATAAATTAAAGGTGGTTTCTTGATACCATTCTCGGAGATTTCGTAGCCAGCATGTTCTTCGTCGGCCTGGGCCTCTTCTTCCGTCGATCGTACCCTGTATTATGAGGTGTAGAAGGTTATACCTCTCTGGATGTCTCATTACATGACCGAAATTGTAACTTCCGAATGTAACTTCCGAATTTTTATCGTTTTTGTTATTTCTGTGCTCTTTTTCATTCGACCATTTTTTTCAAAAAAATTCATTAGTTAAAAATAATAACAATTTTCCGGAATACGCCTTTAAATAAGAGTTACTGGAATTTTCGAAACGTAATGAAAAAGCAACAGTGTATATAGTTGACCAAATTGTATCAAGTTATGGACATCAACTACTACGGTTACTGCCGTATCACTGCCAGTTTAATCCCGTCGAACACATCTGGGGTATATGTAAAAGGTATTATGATAATCACGTTTGGTGCAGTGGATACAGTGACGATGCAGTTAGGGAAATGTGGCAAGAAGCTCTTAAAACTGCAACTCCAGAAATATGGGCCAAAACTGTGAATAAATATGAAAAATTAATTAAGTGGTGGATCCGAGAAAATAAAATTGTGAAATTAATCCCGTGATTATAGATTTACATAATGATAGCGGTAGTGAATTTAGTGACGATAATAATTTATAAATTTAAATAATGTTATTTACAAAATAATTGTATAGCAGCTTAACCATTATATTTATACATTCATTATTAGCCAAATAAACAATATTTCAAATTCAATTTGCATTCAATCTTTGCTCCTCATTTTATACAAATTAACTCATAACGGATATTACAGGCAGGAATATTCTAAACAAAGTAAGTAATTAAAAAGATTATGGAGAACACCAGTGCAGTTTACCGTGCCTTTTACTAGGACGAAAGATCTGCGAATTCCGCTAATCGTTTAGAGGTGTAAATTTGTTGAATGTACTGTCGTTGCCAATGTACATTGTTCTCTATTGGTACAAGTATTCAGTATTAAATAATAAACCTATTTTTTAATTCTCATCTACAGAGCGTTTTTTTTTATTTTGTTTTTAGACGAACCTAGTTTAGAAGAACTTCCGACAAATATTAAATTGAAACCGTCGTATACTTCCATAAATGTGACATGGGAACCCGTCAACTGTTATAAGAAATATGGCAGATTGGTATATACGATAATTGTTTCTAATTCTACACTAAATTTCACCAAAGAAATATCTCTACAAACAAATACTAGTTACGAGGTAACTGGACTTAAACCGTACTCACACTATTCTTTGACAATTTTAACAGCTCGTAACGGTAGGAGTATTTACAGAAAGGTCAAGACTACAAACTATACTTTGACTTTCACTACACTCGCTGGAAGTGAGTATAAAGTTTCCTTGTGACATAATTACAGTAAATATTGTTTGGTTTTAGTTAACTTCTACGTTTTTGGTGCGATTTTAAAAATAAAGTCGAATACTTTTAGAACAACACTCATAATGTATATTTATTTTTTTTTCTAGTTGCTCCTATTCCAGAAAATCTTGAAATCTACTCAATAGACCAAAATACAGCGTCCTTAAGATACGACCTGCCAACCAACTCGAACGGTATCATCAAAGATGTTCACGTGAGTAGGTGTAACAGCCTTTCGTTCAACAAATGCAAAGCGTCGTTTTCTATCGTGAAAAGATGCAGTCTATGGCCGAAGAAGTATTGCGTAGAGGTGAATTATCTGATACCTTTCCAGTCCTACAACTTCAGAGTTGCCTTAAAGAATCTGGATACGCCTAGTTTTGGGAAAGAAGCAGTGGTGAAGGGTTTCGCTAACGACAAAGGTAAGTTTTTGATGGAATTTTTGATCACATTTTAAAAAGTGAGCTCGAAAATTTAAAGTAATTTAAAAAAAAAATGACATTCATAAAGATACAAAAAAACAATTTATTCAAAAAATTTTATTCACGGAGCACAGAATTTATAAAAACGTGCATCTTGCTCACATAGACAACTCGGTCTACTATTTAAGCCAGGGGTTCCCAAACTGGTGGAGCGCCCCCCTGGAGGCGTAAGGACATGTCAGGGGGCGCAAAACAAGTCAAGAATTAAATTAAAATTTTTCAGTCTTTCTAAAATTCTAAATTATCCATGAAGTTTAGAAAATTAAAACAAACCACTGTAACATCTGACTTTACACATAAATTTGAAATCGAATGCTTGAAAGAATGGAATGTAAGCCGTTCAATGTGACAATAGCAGAGAACATACGAACACACATGCGTTTGTAGTTCTCTGACAATAATAGCGCGCATTTGACAACCGAGCGTTTTCAAGCACTGCCCCTCTCCTTCCCACCCTTCACCAGACGCAGGCCAGCTAATCAATTGTGACTCAGTGTTTGAGATACCTCGGCCTAGCCTGCACGTATTGTTGCATTATAAAAGCGTACGTGTTGTGGAATTTTAATTTTCGTAGTTGACTTTCATTGATTTCGTTGATTTGAGTAAGAGTCAAGATGAGCTCAGTAAAGAAACGCAAGTATAATGATGATTATGTCAATATGGATTTGTATGCGCAAAGATAATATTGAACATCCTCAGTGTGTAATTTGGTATGAAGTATTAAGTAATAATGCAATGAGACCTAATCGTCTTGAAAGACATTTGTCATCCAAACATAACTCTTTTAAGGACAAACCAAAAGAATTTTTTGCTACAAAATTTGAAAATTTAAAACCCATGAAGTTGGACAGTACTGGATCTACGGCTCAGTCATCTGAAAAAGTGCTTGAAGCTTCATATGAGCTATCACTTCTGATTGATGAAGAAAAGAAGAGCCATAATATTGGAGAGACGCTTGTTAATCGTGTTTGTTAAAGACAGCTGATATTATTCTTGGAACGCACAGTAAGCAAACGTTAATTACTATTAAACTGGGAATAAGCCACAATTAAAGATAAAAATACGTTTATTGACGTTTCAATTTCCACTTCGGAAATCGTTCTCAAAATACAAACAGTAAATTAAACAAATTTTGTTTTTTTTTCAAAAAAAAAAAAAAATTGTTTAATTTACTGTTTGTATTTGAGAACGAGTTCCGAAGTGGAAATTGAAACGTCAATAAACGTATTTTTATCTTTAATTGTAGCTTATTCCCAGTTTAATAGTAATTAATTTACAATGCCACAAGAAAATAGCTTCAGAACAATATTAAGCAAACGTTATCTCAAATACCTCTTTCTGACAACACTGTAAAACGTCGCATTGATGATATGGCCGAAGATATACAAAACCAGGTAGTTGATGCAGTAAAACAATCGCCAATTTTTGCTATTCAGCTAGACGAGAGTACAGACATAGTACAATGTTATCAGTTAATTGTTTATGTTCAGTATATTGAAAACGAAAAAATAAAAGACGAGCTACTCTCTTCTACAGAGTTGGAGACCACGACAAAAGCTATTGATGTTATGAAAGCAGTGTCAGACTTTGACAAACACATGAACTCTTTTGGCAAAAACTGATCGGTGTATGTTTAATGCTTGGTTCTCGCTCAGGATTTGTACAATTAGTAAGAGAGAGAAATGCTGATGTGACTGGGATACATTGTGTTATACATCGACAAGCCTTGGCAGCAAAAAACTCTTTCAAATGATCTGCATGCTGTCTTAAAGTTGTGTATTAAAGTAGTGAATTACATAAAAAAAAAACAGTGCGCTGAATACTCGACTGTTTAAAACTCTTTGTGAAGATTTAGGGAGTGATCACAAAATACTGCTATTTCATACAGAAGTACGATGGCTTTCAAAAGGAAACATGTTGGCAAGATTATTTGACCTTCGAGATGAAGTAATCACTTTCTTGGAACAGCCAAAGCAAAATAAACTAAGCGTGGTCTTCAAAAAACATTGTACCCAAATAATATTGACTTATTTGTCAGATATCTTTGACTTGTTGAACAACCTTAACCTAAAACTGCAGGGTGGAGGCTCAAATATAGTATACTCATCGTGATGCGATTAAGATGTATATTGAGAAATTGCCACTTTGGAGGCGTAAAATATTAGCAAACACCTGCAATTATTCGAGTTTCCCTGAAGTAGAGTCAATCTCAGAAGAAACACGCTTCAAAGACATTTATGAAGGATCAAGTTTGAAAATACAAATATCATACCATTTGAAGTTCCAGAAGTACTTCCCAAACACTTGTGACGATAGTATTTTCAGATGTCAACTGACCGATTCCATGTCAACATAGACTCCCCGCCTGAATCTCTTCAAGAATATGCTTTGCAAAATACAACTTTGATATAATGTACAAACCTTCATTTTGGTTAAAATATTTCAACGTGTATCATAAGTATATCACGGGAAGCTCTTTGTTATATTTGCCTTTTTCAAGCACCTATTCGTGTGAAAAAGCATTTTCAACACTTGTGGCAATTAAAACAAAGTATCGGAATAAAATTGATGCTGCTAGTGACTTGCGTTGTGCACTTACTAAAACTCAGCCACAAATAGGCATACGAGTAAAGAAAATGCAAGCACATCCATCTCACTAACCAACCTAATCTATATTTCTTTCATTAATAATTTTTGTATTTTATAAAAACTGATATTATTGTATCTTATGGCAGTATAAATAAACGTTTTGTTTTCTATATAATACGTATTTGTTTTGTTCCTAGGCCCATACAATTTATTGTTAAGGGATGGATAGCCTATAAATATGGTTTATTGTTTTTTCCGGATTTTTTTCAACATCTGCGCAGAAGTCTCGCGAAGAATCGCGAACACATATTTTTTCAATCGGAATTTGTTTAAAAGAAAAATTCTCGTCGATACTGTGAAATTTGCATAACTGATATACGAGGAGCTTACCATAATTACTAAGAAAGATACACTGTTAAAAACCTTTATAATGCACCACATAAGTTGGAACTCATTTAACGCATAGAACGATCTAACTAAAGGTCATTTAGATCATACACCATATGACATTTGACCTACTTCCTAATTGAACAGTTTAAAAAATTTTCTAGCGGGTTATTTAATTTCTAATTTTCAGAGAAGAATTTACCAACTGTTTTACTCGAACTCGTATATTCTTTTTGCTGTCACGATCTAACCCAAGTAGGTTATTTAGATTGGACATCATGTGACATTTGACCTACTTCCTAATGGGACAGTTTAGAAAAAATTATACATATCTCAAGCATATTTAAACTGGCTATTAAATAGAGCATCTGGGTAGTAGATTGTACATAAAGGGTTCGTTCGGCTTTGTAGACTTTGTGCTTGAACTGAAATTAAACAACTTTTTTATTGAAAAAATACCAATATGAATAATTTTAGCCCTATGTCTTTGTAGTTCCAGGCAAACCAACAAATATCACCTACAAAATGGTTAACTGCCGCAATGATTACGAATATTGTGATTTAAATATAAGTTGGTTGCATCCTTACCATCAAAATGGCACCATAACACAATTTGAAATTGTTTTGAACAGCACCAATGTCAAGAAGGAAGCTGAAGATGACAAATATATCCATGAAGTATATACTGTGCTGAATAAAACTTACTATTATGATTATACGTATCAGGTATATTTTTAATCCGTTTATTATCTAGTATTTTTTGATTTTTTTAACACACTGTACACATTTTAGATTAAAGATGTTCCATATAGCAGTCACTACAACCTCTACATACGATCCGGCAACACCGCCTACAAAAGCGACTATGAAGAAACTCACGTTAAAACGGACCATATCGGCGATCATATCGACCAAAGTCCGAAACTCTTAGCTAGAAGTGACAATAATTTGTTGTTCAAGATGCCATATCTAGACAGCAGACTAAAGTCCTACACCATGACTGTTGTGGTCCAAGACTACGATAAAAAGCAACAAGTTGATGGTGAGGTGTTGAAAAATAGAAAGGTTGCTGATAATTTGTGTAACAACTTTGGTGATACTTGGATAGCACAAGTAATGAAGGTAAATATGGTTTTGGTACAAGTATAGTATAGGTAGGGTGACCATATGTACTTTTTTTAGTAGGACAGTCCTTTCTTTTCAAACGCTGTCCTATTGTACTTTAAAAATTTATGAAGTACACCTAAATGTACTCTTTTTCTTAATTACACAAAATTAAGTCCTAATTTTTGTCCAAACAAAATATAATTCGAATTGATGCGCTCACTGTTGATTAGTCTATTAACCTTTTGTCTTAAATTCGACACTTTTTCTTGTTTTTTTATATGATTTTGTGCTGTGTGGAAAAATAAACAATTTCGTCATGTCATCGCCTAGAAGAAAATGCCATTTTAACGTCGAGTTGCAAGCAGAGTATCCTTTTATGAAACAAAAATCAAATGTTTCACCGCATATTGTATTTTGCCAAGTTTGTAAAAGTGATGTTGATATTTCTAACAGTGGTCGCAGTAATATCAAACAACATTTGTCAAAGAAAAAACACATGTTGGCTACTAATGCGAACTCGAAGAGCAGCAAATTGGAAACCTTTGTTAAAAAAGACAATTTAAGTTCTGAAAATATGTTGATTGCTGCCAAGCAATCAACATATTCAAATTTTTCTCCATCAGGTTAATGCTCCTAGAATGTTTACGAGTAGTTTTCTTGTCTTCGTGATACTCAGTCACAGTAAGATCTTCTTGAGAATCTCTGACAGTCTTCATTGCAGTTTTTAGCTTACTTTCTTATCCCGAGTGCATCACAAACGCGTTGATTTATACATAATAATGACTTTAAAGGTCCACCATTGTATTTATGCACATTTGCGATTAATTCATCAATATCCAACCTACGTCTAGACATGATGGTCACTTAAAATTACACGTTTGAATTACAATATATACTGAGTTTAGATCAATATAATATAAGTTAGAAAACTTTTGAAAATGTCACCATAAGTTGTTAACTTATGGTGACATTTGAATAGAAAATTACTTACAAATTGATAAATGGTAGATGAAAATCAGTTACTGTAATGCACAAACTGTGTTTGGAGGTTAGGTTTCATTAGGAGAGTGAGCGGAAAAGGTTAGGTTGAGTTAACTTTAAGTTAGATCAGTTTTATTAAGACTTAGTCATGTTTTTCTTCCAGTTTTGATAAAACTAGTAGTATATTGGCAGAAAATACAATATCAGTATTATCCCCCTTACTTATTAACACAAATGTGTTGAGCAGTATATTCGTAGAAAATTATGCAAATTTTACTCCCTGTATAGTAGTCGCTACTAAAAATTTTACAATATCTGTTTTAGGTTGACAGCAATAGCAGCATCAGAAACATAGCTATAGGCAGTGCAGAGAAACATAGTCTAAAGCCCAACACAAAATATTGCATCACTTTCATCATCACCAATAGCTATAAGGACACAGAACACGACGTTGTTTATTATGAAAAACTGAAGACTACAAACATCCAAGGTTCTTCTAAAGGAGTCGCTGAAGCAGGTTCCTCCAACCATTTGTACATGCTGCTTCTTATATTGCTTATTATACCAGTGGGATTTTTAGTTTATAGGTACATTTTTTCATGGAACATATTCTATATACTTAAATTAAACGCTTTAGTCACTGTATGAATGATTTTCTTACATAAAAAAAGGATAAAGAACCACATTTTCTATACAAGGACATTACTGGAAATAATCGTTTATAAATGGTGGTAGGTCAAGAAAATTAATTTCCTTGACCATCTTGTTGTTTGGGTGTGAACCCAACAGATATTTAGGTTGGGGATCACATTAAGGCCATTATATATTCTAAAATAGGAAGAAAAGCTAAGGAATGTGCTAATATTATCACTTTCGACTTACACGATTTTTTTTCTATATGAAAATCATCGTTTAATGGACTAAAACGTTGTATTAAAGTGTTTTGCGTTTAGTCTTGTACTATTCTACATCTTTCTATCTAGCTTTAATAAATATTATTGCGAAAAACTAACAATGAACTTTCTTTCAGGTATTTCAGAAAGAAGAGATACATCACAAAGTCAATGATCACACCAAACGATCATTGTTACGAAACGTTGCCATGCAGTGAGATTCGGCACGACAAATCAGAATCCAACGAAAAGCTGCAACCTGTTGTGAATAGAGACTATAGTTAAACAGTTGTAACAAGCCAATTTACTTCACCAGAATGTGTTTCTATAGATTTTTTTATACCAAATCCGTTCTTTGCTATCGGCTGTTCAAATTTATGTTGCCACGAATGTTCAGTGTTGTCGAAAGGTCGTCAGTTGGCAGCGTTGTCTAAATATCCTCAGCTACTTCTAAATATCGTCAGCGTTTTCTAAAAGTTGTCAGAATGGTCCATTTTGTCATAATTGTATAAATATCGTAAGCCTTATATAAATATCTTCCTCAAATTTAATTAAAAATCGTCAGCTATGTGTATAAATTGTATAAACGTTCTCAGCATTGTCTAAAGATCGTGAGCATTGTCTAGAAATCGTCAGTGTTATCTAAAAGTGCTTCGCATTATGTAAACTTTCTTAGAGTTTTCTAAACTTCCTCAGTATGGTCTAAACGCCTAATATTGTAGGCTTTATCTAAATATGATCGTCAGCATTGTCTAAACTTTCTTAATAGTTGTTTAAACTAGCTCAGTATGGTCTCAGTGTCTTTAGCAATATATAAATTAAGCAGTACCTAAAAATCTTCGTCAACCTTATCTAAATATGGTTAACAATGCGTATACAGTCTTCAGGATTGCCCAAATATCATCAGCATTGTCTAAATATCTCCAGTGTTGTCTAAAAGTTCTATTCATTGTCTTTATTTTTTCGTTATGGTCTAAAGGTTATCAGCGTTGTATAAATATTGTAAGCGTTATCTAAACATTATCGTCAGCGTTGTATAAACTTCGTCGGTACTATCCGAACCTCCTCAGCATTTTCAAAATATCCTCTGTATTGTCTAATCGTTGCCAGTCTCATCTAAACGTCGTCAGCTTTTCGAAACTTCGATAGCTTTTCAAACTATTCTTAAGAGTTGCCTAAATCTTGCCAGAGTTGTCTAATCGTTACCTAAACATTGTCAAAATACCTTGATCATTACTGAAACTACAGAATGTAGAATAGTGTATGATGAGATATCAAAACTTACTTGTTTAAGATGGCTTATAGCAAGAGTTGCTGAGCCCCTTTGCGAAGAATGCCACTATTTAAAAAAAAACATTACTTACAAAGAAAGTATAGTTTTTGTCTTCTAGAATGAGGATTTTTAGCTGTCGTAAAGATTTTTTGCTGTAGACTATGTTTCGGGTGTATGTTTTATGTGTGTTAAGGGTGTATACACAGAGGCTTTGAAGTATTTTAATCAACCTTTTGTCGGTCGAAGTATAGACAGATAATCAAATACTCGAGACAGGCACAGGAGATGCAGGGTCGCGAATGCTACTTCCGGATCCATAATTATATTCAGTAGTATGCGCAGAGGTTTTAGAAATATTATTAGGTTGGTGAATGCAATTATGTAACAATAAAACACTGAAAACTTTGTTTTCAAACTTCTACAAAATTTATTTTAAATCTTATCACTACAGCTGTTTCGGCTTTCTCAAGCGATCTATTTTTGGCTTGGGTTTACAAATTTATAGTCTCTAATGAAATAGGTTGAGGAGGGAGAACTGTTTGTCTCAAGTTGGTCATTCAGAATTATATCTGTGTTTTTAATTTGTTGATTTCCATAGATTCTAACAAAGATAGCTTAAGGCCTTTATTTTGAATGTGAAGAATTTTAAATTTGTCATTAAAATAATGATTATGATATAGAAGGTGAAGTGCGTATGTCGAATCTGTTTTTCTATTCTTGAAAGCCCTTTTATGCATTGCAATTATGATTCCGTCACTAGGTCTCCACCGTGCTCCACTTCTTATGAGTTGAGGATATTTAAATAATTCGAAGAGCAGGCGTTATTTTCATAATATGAGGTACAAGTAGTTGAAATTTAATTTTGGCGACACTATATTCGAATGTAAGGATTACTGAGACGATAGATGTAACATTTACATTCCTTATTCATTGTTTTTGAACAATAAAATAAAAGTGTATTTAAAATACAATATTCTATTAATAAAAATAAGAATTGTACCAGTCAAAGTAATTCAAATACTCATAAGATTATCAAAAGAATCTCAAAATAGAGTGTTAGTTTTTGAATAAGAAATTTTTAGCCCTTTTGGGTAATTTTATTCAGTTTATGGCTAGAATTTTTATCAGCGATGGTAAAAAACGGAATTTGTACAAAAAGAATATATTTTTGTGCGTTTTACCCCTTCTAATTACTTAATAGTTGTATGTTACCTTAAAAAGCATCTAGATCATTTGATGTAAACTGGTAGTGAAGTACTGTTTTGGCAGAAGAGTGCACAAACATAAAATCTACATTTTTTATTTTTTAATTTACTTGACTGTGCCATTTTTTTGTTGCCATTTACAAACGACGTTGGTAGTTTTATATCAACAGATTGATTCACATATATTATTATAGGATGCCACAAACTTTACAGATTTTAAAAATGTTCTATATAGTTTGTATAATGAACATTTGAGATACGAAAAGATGTGTCTTAAATATTTGAATCAGTATATATTTGTTGTTCTATAATGAGTGCTTTTAAATTTCATACTGAGCACTTTATCCCATCATTGGAACTACAATTCAAAGAAAAATGTCACACAATCAGACCTCAATGCTCGTAGGTTACTAACAAATAGGCAACACTCTTTACTTTGTATTTGTGACATCTATCCAGTAAATAAATCAAGCAACACTGTACATCTTTTAGATAATGACCTCACTGTCAGTTTACACCAAATAGAATATAGATCCCAGTATCTTGTACACTAAAATGTGCTTCCAAAAAGCTTGTACTTATATCTGTCTGTGATATGTAACACCAACCGATTCTAACTTTCAACCATGTTTTTACTGTGCCTTATATGTATTGACATATATGAAATAATTGTCTTTTATTTGTAAAGTTTTAATTTTTATTGGTAGAACTCTGTAATATCTGTTATTAAATAAAGTATATGTATTGCAGCTATTTTAAATAAAGAAATATTTCAAAATATTATTTCCCTACTATAATAGTGTTTTGTACAGTACAGTTGTATGTACTTTCTTCAGGAGTGGGGCACCCAGAGGCAAAAATCGACAGGCGGTAAAGTGATTCAAGCACAGTAAGTACTCAACATACCCACCAGAGGTAAAATTTGAAGGATAAAGAGATAAAATAAAAAGGAATCACATTTATTTAGTATAATTACATGTACATTAAAGTGGATACATACAAAAGTTACTGAAAAGTATTTATAGTAATACATTTACAACCTAAAGTGTACAAAAAGCGATTCATGCTCAAATATATTTTTTTATAGGACTCATTTAATAATTTTAATATATTTTATAAGATAAAACTTGAACAAAAGTTATAAAATATTTAAAATTTGTAAGTTTTTATGTTTCTATGTATATAAGTATGAAGTTACTTATTGAAAATTGCATAAGTACATGATTTCTTATATCAGGGTTATCTTTTCAATTTTAGATAGAGTAACATTGTCAAACTTTACGTGTCTTAAAATAAATGTCTTATGTCAAAAATAACATCAGTAAGAACAGAATGTGCAACACATTGAATGCAACAAAAAAGACAGTTTATGGTTTCTCATAGGAATAGCATCTAAATATTCCAGTTCTACATTGTTATAACTGATTTACCTATTTTGCATCACCAAAATGTTTCTGATCTAATGATTTTCACACTAATATAATCCTAATATCGGCATAAATATTTCTAATAACGCCTGACTGAAAAATTCAGACTTTGATACAATTTTGTGGCAGAAATCCTATTTATATTGAATTGAAATTTAATAATTCCCAACCAATTTCTCTTACATCACATGAGATTTGACTTACTTGCTGATAAGCACCCAATTTAACCTGAATTTATTTTTTTTGGAATTTTATTTCTTTTTAATCAACAAATTTAATTATAAATACTCTATTTAACATTTGACATTTAACATGATTCTACTCTAATCTGTTGTAGATATATTTTAAAAAACTGACAGTGGATTGATTTGTCTTTATCCTTTCTATGTAAAACTAAAGAGACATCCCTGGTAAGTTGGCATTGCATAAGTAAGAGATTCAAGTGAACACATGTTTGTGATGAACGCTTAATACAGGAGCACAAAAGCCAATTAATTTTATATATTTTCAACGCGAAAAATTATAATCTCATACTTGCATGAATCACAACATATTCACATACCTTTTTTGCGATAAAAAGTTATACACTACCATTCGAACAACCCTTAACAGAAAATAATTAATGTATATGTGGATTTCGTAGTCCTCAATACTGTTTAACCCCACAGATCTTCAGATCTTCCAAACTTATATATAATCGAGGAGATAAAAATCAGTGCATTTTGGAGGAAAAGTGACACTCCAGACCATCGTTTTCCTAAAAATATCAAAGTAAAACATATAAATGAAACAAATTCCTCAACACAAACTCTTATTATTTATAGAATTTGATGGAAATTCATGTTAAAGCTATAGCATGAAAGACAACAATCTTTTTAATTTCCACAGAATATAATCAACTATAAGATTCTTTTAGGTAAACTAATGTTTCAGAAAAACATGCTAAGTTTACTATATTATGTTGAAATTAAAAAGAGTGTTGTATTTTATTTTAAATTCTTCTTAAAAACAACTGAAGGAAATAAAAAAAAATAATCTTCAATACACTTTTCTTGAGTAATGTTAGGTTAACTTACCCTCTACCATAAAATCAGCAAATAATATCCAACATGAGGCGATCACTGCAGCAAAACCCATAACGAAACCCAAAAACAACCAAATCCTAGTTCCACGTGAACCCATGCAGCCTCCTTCATAGGCATCACCTCTCATCTGAAACATGATGAACCTTATACATATAAAAGGCCTATTTCTTTTAATTTGTATAATCACAGTTTCATTTTAGAAGCATCTGATAGATGTATGTAGCACTGAAGAGTGTTGCTACCTGAGGCAAGATCTTATTAATGGGAGAAGAATGATTACAAAAGAAGTACTTTTCCTTACTGTAACTTATAGTTAATCTATAGGAAGATTTTGAATCTGGGAACTCTTTAAATATAAACCAAAACCTTTGTTGTAATCTTCAGAATTCTTTTTTCTGGGTATAATTAAATCTTATTTAGCTTATACCAGAATGATTTAAGGAGTATGCAGGCAAAAACCAGCTACTTTTACAACAAAACAAACACTTTATCACTTAGTAGGTAAAAGTTCTGATACAGGAAGGATTTATATCTAGGAAATTTATCAGCTCTAGTGTTCCTAACAAAATGAAGCAGAATGCAAAATAAAAACTGGAATAAAGGTAAAGATTCTAACAAATTACACAAAAACATTTATCAAATTTTTTCTTCTGGGTATAATATAATCTAATACAAAAATATAATTTAGTCATAGTATGTCAATCAAGATAGATACTTTTATCTTACAATACTAGCTTAAAGAACCAAAATAGAAGGAAAATATGCCATATATGTTCCATTCTGTTAGGATAAAGTTACAATAAAAAGAACTTCGGGGCAATAATCAGTTTAGGGCACTTACATAACCAAACTTTTATATTATGACATTTAACATAGGCTTAAATGGTGTCAGAGTTGCCAAGTCTCCAGTTTTTTTATACTCTCGCATAATATTCTAGAAATGCATTGAAATTATATAAAAAAATCATAGATTTTAATTAAATTAAAGATAGTAATTAAATGCATATACAATAAAATTGATTAAAATGATATAAAAAATTAATAGTATTAATAAAATGACTGTATATAATAGAAATGCATTAAAGTTATATAAAACTTATAGCGGGTTGACCATTCCCACCTAATAATAAGGTCTTAATGGCTAAGATTTGGAAAGTGCTAATTTACAATATTTAACTGCATTTAAAGTAACAGAAAATATTTATTTTATATTTATCCAAAGCTTGTAGCTTCTCAAAATACAAATTATAATTTCATAAAAGTAACTTATATTTTAAACCTTCATATATATTTTACAAAAAAAGATGGCAAGTTTTATACTTATTTAAAATTTGTAGCTTCTCATAACACAAATTATTATTTCGTAAAAGTAACTTTATATTTCTAACATGCATATACATATTTTACTAAAATAAATACGGCAACAATGTGAAGCAGTGCCTTGAGGAAAATATATTTGGTTATGTAGAGTGCCCTAAACTGATTATTGCCCGAAATTCCATTAGTGTTAAATAATTCATTCGGCATAGCTCACAAAAGAGTATAAAAATGTAGATCAAAATTTTAACCTTGCAAAATGATCCTTACTACACTCACCAATAGTATTAGTATTATTGGTAAAATAAAGTAGAACATAAAAGAGACTTTCTGATATAACATATTCTATTTTATTCCGACAAATGTTATTATTAATGACAGAGATTTATAAAAATATTGGTACTTAATTCTTGGCTATTATATATTTTATTATAATCAAACAAAAAATAATGTGTTTTAAAACACATTATGAAAAATTACTGATAAAAATAGTGTATATATTAGTAAACTCCAATAAGATAAACTTATAATTACTATCTTTAACTTCTCTCACATTTTTATTAGCTGATAAGCAGTTACTTATCTGGGGTATACCATTTAATAAAATTTGGAAAATCATAGACTAAATCTAAGTGTGCTATATATTACCTAAGCATTATAAAAAGTGAAAAACAATATTTTGTACAAAACTAAGGGAACATTCTTTTGTTTGAATATAAAGAACTTACCTGTGCATTGGATACAGAATTTACCATAAGCAAAGAGATTGTCCCTACAACCCCGCACATATGGTAACCAGCTAGAATATTACCGTAAACGCTAGCTGCATCTATGACTATCCACCAACCAGTAAAAAACTACAAGAACAAACATTAATCAAGTTTCTTTAATAGTTAATGCGATTATTTACCAATAAGCCTGCTAACATCGACGCTAACGCGTTTCGTTTATCTCCTCCCTCGAACCATATACACGGAGGCATACTAATATTTTCGAAACATTCAATGGCCATTTTGCTAAATTATTGTATTTTATAAGGTAAACAATACTAATCTCATGCTAATTTGACAAGATAAAGATAATAATCAAGGTGTCACTTTATGAGTCATACAGGTCAACAGGACACTCCCTTCTAACAGTGCCAATCCTGTCCTAAAAAGTAAAACGACAATTGGCACATCACCTGGTGTCAGGGTGCGTAACTATATATTTACATGGTGGTAATTCAAAAGGCACGTAAAATTACCTATAATAGCATTGTAAACTTATTTTAAAGTAAGGGAAAATCACTATAATCCTAAAATAGCAAACGTATTTTATCTAAATTTTCCCTTGGAAGTAAAAATCCTGTTTTTTTATAAATTAGATTGCGCAACCACCAAACTTTACTCTATTTAAATTACGCTCTCGCCAAAATTTAAAGTGTTACCTTTAACAATTTAACCAAGAAAATACTAAAGAAATAGTTTGAAAACATTATTTAAAAATAAGTACGTGAAATTGTTATCTAAAAAGCTTATAGTTTCTCTAAATTGATTTAGTTCCATACACTTCGCAAATATGTTTGAAACTATTTCGTTTTATTGAGAATATATCAATTTTTTTTTAAATATAACGTAACAAATCCAACAGTTTTCCTATTGAATGATATATTCCTTTTCATATCATTTCTTTATATATATATTTCTTTATATATCAATATCTTTCAATTCATTGTCCAAATTAAAAATATTCTCAGTAGTAAATCATCAAGCATATTTATAATGCATCTAATTAATATTTTTTAACAACTATAAATGTACAAATGTACTATTTTGACTGAAATTTTTAAAGACCGGCGGCATAAGTATTTATCGTAAATGATTAAAAATAAAATTCTTACTACTTGTTTAGAATTTTAACAGATCCATAATAATTTTATGCATTGTTCTTATTATGACCTAATTTGGACAAATTGTATTATTGGTTGCATATCACGTAGAAAGATTCGTAACTGAAGAAGGAAAAGACATAAACGTTTTGATGTTTTTAGTTAGTATTCAGCTAATTTTCTATTATTAGTGATTACTAAGATGTGAGAAACACATATTCTTATCGCAGTTTAAAATTGCCCAAATTTTCGTACAAACTTCACACCGGCTTACTTTACACGTGATAACAAAATTAGGTTATGATTATATAAGGTTGATGAACTGTCAATTTCATACAACTGTGATATCCACACTTTTATTAGAAAAATTAATAAACTATTTAAAATTTTCAACGTAAAACTAGTAGAAAATCGTAGATCTGGTTGAAATACTACCTTTGTATAAAATTAAAGAAAAATTTGAAAGTTATACCAGTAACAACATTCACAATGGTTGAACAACAGAGGCAAAGGATTGAACAAGAAATGACCAAACTAATTAATGAATTGGACCTCCAATATTTACGGAAAATGCAAGTGAGTGACACAAGGTATTTACAAGGTTTTATATCACAACTTTAATCATTATACTTTATACCCAATACATACATTGAGAAATGAATTATTTATCCTATCAATAATTTTAGGCAGATATGCACAGGTGTGCTGCTACTTGCTGTGAAAATAGAGACGCGTCCTTAGAGAAGGTTCAAAAGTGTGTGGAGCAGTGCTCTGTAAAGATTCATTGGGCTCAATCATATGTACAAACAGAAATGGATCACCTTCAGAATAAATTACAAAGATGCGTTCTAGATTGTAATGATGATATCAAACTCAAAATGGGACCTAATCCGACAGATTCAGAGGTAAAAATGCTTAATTAATGTCTTAAGAGAATTTTAATTATTTAATTTTTAGGTTCAAAAATTTACTGCCCTATTCGAAAACTGTGCTACAAAATGTGTAGATAACCAAGTTGAATATATTCCTGCCTTGTTGAAGAGAATGAAAGCTAACATTTCTAAGGGACAAACGTGATTCCTTTTGAATACAGTTTATATTCGAAATATCTATGTTAGTTTCAAAATTACTGGTTTTCTGTAATTTGTGAATGTTTATTATATAAAAATGAAAACAAACAGCCACTTACGTGTGTTATTATTTAATTCATACCTTTGGATAATATAAATATACAAGATTTCTATTAACATTAATAAAATTTATTAATATTATATCAACTTTATTCAATACAGTTGATATAAAAAAAATTATGGACGATGGTGGCTGAAATTGATCCATATCGAGGCCGATTGCGCAAATGAAGCTGAATAGCTTTAGGAAAGAGACTCGAGTGGTGAGGAATGTCACTGTCAAAACTTTTTTCCATTAATAATAAAAGTCATTAGTGTCACTGTCAGGAGGTTAAAGTGTAAATTTTAATGAGAAATGATAAATCACTAATAATAGTTGATAGTTGCAAATATCAAACATGAATAATACAAAAACGCAGGAAGTCTACAGTGACCTAACATTGTTAGTAACCTTTATTTTGTACCACTCTTTGATTTGATCTAACATCAATAATTTCAGATTTACAACTCCAGATAAGTTCTTCTTGGAGCCCAAAAATGGGGAGGAATTATTAGTGATAGAGAGAGTAACTGAAGAGATTTCAGTTTATAAAAATCACCGTCACATTATACCAGCAGCTAGTAGTCGAAAAGATTTCTGTGGCCTCCTTGGTATAATTAGGCTGTTGTCTGGGCCTTATCTAGTAATTGCCACTCAGAGAGATATAGTGGGTTATATATCAGGTTTGTATCTTCCGAGGATAGAATAAATGTATAGGGATACACACATTTTGATTAATTTTGATTTTTATATAAAGGGAAACAAATCCTAGATTGTGTGAGAAGATTTAATTTTATTGCTGTTGTAGTATAATTAATGAAGCCTTGAAATTAATGAATGTCATACTGATAAAATGTTATTAATTATAAAAAGGTCATGTACAAAATAAGTGTATATTACCTTTTAAAAACCCAACTCAATATTGATATTATGGATATCTACTTTTATTTACACATTTAGACATTTGTTATTGATTTCAAATGTTTCAAGAACACATATTTGATGAAAGAATGTGTTAAAAGCACTATATATGTTTTCTTGTTATATATTGTTCTAAAATTGCTTATTCAATACATATATGGATAATATCAGGAACTTTTTCCTTGGTAGTGTATGTAGAAATCTAGAGCCACAAAATTTGATCATAAGCAAAATGTAAACCTGGATCATGTTTCTCTAAAATGAGTACAATGTAATAAGTAGCTGTTCATATTAGGTATGTTTTCTGTTTCTCTTTCCTCCCAATTATTTTTTAAGCATTTGTTTCTTTGTTAGGGAGTAAGGCCACTGTAGAAGTATAAAATATAATTGTTGGGCATACTTTTAAAACATATTTTAAAAAATTAAACTCATATGATTAGAAGAGCCCCTCAGTTTTTAGTAACTGTAAAATCCATTTCTTATTTTATTCAAATTTATTTTTATTGTCCAGTCTGTCTGCGTGTGTGTCTTATTAGTGCAACAAACTGATGTCACATCTTAATTTTAATTTTTATATCTAGTGTATAGAGAGAAAATACATTCTCACATATTTTCCTTATTTGCTAATATGTACAAATTTATATGTTTCAGTATGTCAATATCATTGCCACTTACTACTCATTTAATTTTTTTCATACAGGTTGTGCAGTATGGAGGCTAGTAAAGGCAGAACTTATTCCCTTCAGGAGCTCCCTAAACTTAAGTCCAGAAAAACAAGCTGACAATGAAGTGTACCTTAGTATGATAGAACAAGTTTTAACAACACCCTTTCAGTATTTCTGTTACGATTACGACCTGACACATTCCCTCCAGCGTCTTCGAGACATTTCGCCAGATTTCTGGAAACAGTCCCTGTGGGAAAGAGCTGATCAACGATTCGTATGGAATGGATTCCTGTTGAGCCCTTTCAAAAATGTGATCAGCAAAAAGTTTTGCCTGCCTTTGATCCTTGGGTTTGTTTCTATTAACTTTTGTGTTATTAATGGGCATAGCTTGAACTGGATCATTGTTTCAAGGAGGAGCGTTTTCAGAGCAGGTACCAGGTAAGTCTTACTTTGGAAAGTATTAATTCAAATGTATTTCTATACTAGAGATAATAGGTTGTTCTAAAATTACTTTCTCATGTAATTTCATTTTTTATCAGAATATTTTTTTCAGAATAATCCATCTTTTTTTCCTGATTTCTTCACCAATGCCTCGACTTCTATTTTAAGGCTTTTATGTATTGATATCTAGACTGTTGTTGCTCTCTAGAGGTTTTTCGTTTCAATTATCTACAATTTTTTGAGTATTTTGTTTTTACAATGTTATTTTTCCAAAAGCTCTGCTAAATAAGATGGTTTATTGGCATAATTTGTTTAACATAATTGAGCAAACAATGTCACATTATTCACAGGTTAAAAAAAATATATTAACATCACAGATTAAATTCTATTAACATTACAAATTAAATATGCTGATCAGGGAGAAGGATAGGCCAGGCACTCTGCCACAGTATACAGTTCAATGTTAACTAGCTGTTGAAAAACTTTTCTTTCAAAAGCTCTATTGTGTGTTTGAATATCAGATAGTAGACTATTTTAAAATATAACACACATATACAAATGATTTCTCTCTGTTTTAGACAATCTGTGAAGTGGTAAATTCAAATTAAGGCTTCTTGTATTATATTCATGATTTGTAAGTAGGTGATAAAACAAAGTAAAATTCTCAAAGAGGAACATAATACATTCAAATATATAGATGGCTGAGAAAGTGAGTATATTGAGTGATTTGAATCAGTCTTTCACCTGGACTGCCTTTTTTACTATAAAAACAGTTGAGCTATCCACTGCAGCACCTCGGAAGATTACTCCATATCACACAACAGAATAAAAGTTTGCATAATGTTTAATGAGCAGCAGGCTCTATTCAATTTTTTGATATATTTTGTATTTGTTCCCCCCAATTCATGTTCTGCTCAATATGAAGACCAAGAAATTTAACTGATCTATCAAGTTCTGCATTTTGTGATAGGAACTTGACTGTATCTGGGAACTGTTCTTGTGACTGGCTGGTTCTAAAGTAAACAAAAATTGTCTATCAGTATTAAGCAAAATCCTATTTCCACTGAAACACTGTTCAGCCTTGCTTAGAGTTCTCTCTGCCACTGTGAGGAGTGTTTCTAATGTTTTTTCCCAGAAAAGCTCAGCTTTTGAGTCATCAGTGAAATTTACACGTTTGAGGATCCACTAACCACCACATTTGGAAATTCATTTATATACACCAAAAAGGGAAAAGACCTCTAGCCTCTAGTTTTTCTAAAATTTTTGATATAAAATCATAGGTAGCTGTCTCAACAGATCTCCCTGTGAGGAAACCATGCTGAAAACTACTAAATAAGTTTTTTGTCATAAAAAAGTTTGTAGTCTGGAATATATAGCTTTTTCAAATATTTTTGAGAATGATGGAAGAAGGCTTATTGGTTTATAGTTCTCCGTTTTTATGTAGTGGTTTGGCAATTGTTAGTTTTAAACCTCAAGGAAATTTACCCTGCCTGAGAGAAGCAATGAAAGAGGAAGAGAAATCTCTGATGAAACAAATTTAATTAAGTTGGTTGATATTTCATCATAACCAGAGCTATGCTTGTTTTTTAAGTTATTTATTATGTGGCTTAATTCTTTATCTAAACAGAAATTACCTTGAATTTTGGAATTACTCTTTTACCAATTGCCAAACCATTTTATTTTCATATATTTTCACTGTTTTCAATTCGTTTTTTATAATATTTTTTTTTTTGGGAGAGATAGATATCTGTTGGCGCGAAATGGTGTGGGCGCCTAATGGTGTGTGCGAAATGGAGTGGGGGCAAAATGGTGTGGGCGCGAAATAGACGATTTTAGAAATCTAACTTCCCTGAGACAACATAACAAATCCTAAATAAGCCTAAAAATTAACAGGATGGACCTTGTTCTTCGTTTCCCATAAAAAATAATGTGGAGCATCTTCATGAATGTATCTCTACTTTATACTAGAAAAACTTGTTCTATATTCTAATGTGTTATAAATTCTCTACCACTGTCTTTGTGCTTAATTTGTTCATCACTAATCGTTTATACCAATATTGTATTGCAGATTATTCCGAAGAGGCATAGACAAAGACGGCAACGTTGCTAATTTTGTCGAAACCGAACAAATCGTAGAATACCAAGGCGACCATGCGAGTTTTGTTCAAATCAGAGGCTCTATTCCACTTTTCTGGCAGCAAAATCCCGATTTGCGTCTTAAACCTCCTCCGACCATGATCGATATGGATCCACAGGAGCAACATTCCACCTGTTTGAAGCATCTAGAAGAAGTGGCAACTTTATACGGCAAAGTTGTGCTAGTCAATCTTATTGACCAAAAGGGAGCTGAAGGTGAGCAATAGCGGTTTTTGTAATTTTAAAACAGACTTTTTTTCCAGAAACTATATAATTTGTTTTTATAGGTAACATGGAGAAATCCTTCAAGGACGCCATGAGTTCATTGTCGTATCCTTCAGCTCGATACGAACCGTTCGATTTTCATTCTGAATGTAGCAAAATGAGATGGGATCGTCTCAAAATCCTAATAGACCGTCTAGCTCTTGACCAAGACGAAATGGGCTTCTTTCTCTTATTGCGGGATGGTTCCTTAAGCTCGTTACAAGATGGAGTCTTCAGAACGAACTGCATAGATTGTTTGGACAGAACTAACGTGGTCCAAAGTATGCTAGCGCACAGAAATTTAGAGGTAGTTTTAAGAAAATTGAATATTTTACACCAAAACCAGAACTTGGAGTTCCAGTATTCCTTCGAAGTTTTGTTTAAGAATGTATGGGCAGATAACGCCGATATTATAAGTACCCAGTACTCGGGAACCGGGGCTTTAAAAACAGATTTTACTAGAACAGGTAAAAGGACTAAGGCTGGAGTATTTCGAGATGGAGTTAATTCGCTTACTAGATACTATAAAAATAATTTAACCGACGGGTATCGCCAGGATGCCATAGATTTATTCTTAGGTTATGGCAAACCAATATCTCCACTAAGAGTAGACAAATCGTGGCGATATATTACATACCCTTCGGTACTTTTGGTCGCTGTATCCATGTTTGTAGCTTCTGCTGTGTTTCCTTCAGAATACTCAACCGAATCTCTTCTGTTTTTGTTATTTTGGGGTTCTATGGTCTACGCCACATTGCACACCATATTCAGATACGGCGTTGAGTTCGTGGACCGACCTAGGCTCACGCAGTCTTAGCATTTCGTCTAGTCAGGGGAATGATGTAGTAGGGAATGGTATTTTTCATGCACCAACACTTTCGAGAAGCTTCCTGTTCTATCTATGTAATTAATATCGAGAGGCAAAATTTCTTTAGCTGTGTTTTCCTATATGTATTCTAAATGAAAAATTGATAAACATACATTACAGTAGAAAATGAGATTGCGAAGAGGAAAAATATTGATAAACCCATATACATGCATCACAGTCGAATTTAAATCTGTCCAATTAGTCATGAACTTCTATCCTTGGACCTTAGAAATACTTTTTTATCTGCAGCAGGTTGCAGCCATTGTCTAGGGCGATATTTGAGATTAAGTAGTCACCTTAATCTTGTTTCATCTGTCATTAATTTGACACACAACTCATAGATCAGAAACATCCGTTTTATGTTTTTCAATTTTTTTTACTTATAGAAAAATGTACATTAATTAACGTATTGATCTAAACCTAACCTATCATAACCTAAATATTTTTTTAAAAACGCCCGAGAAATCTTTTTTACGGATTTTATTTTGTATTTACACAAGCGTCATGGGCTATTTGGGCTAAATTCTCACAGTTGAAGTGAGGATAAGACCTAAAAATATCTTAAATAGTATTTTGGTTTTTTTGTTCTAAATTTTGACTCTCTTTAAATGTGTAAAAGTGATATTTTTGGTAAAATTATTTGTATACTTCCAGTACCAATTATTTGCTTCTATATAAGTTTTGTATGTATATAGAGAAAAGTATATGTATTTTGCAATTTTATTGTTAATATTATTAATAAATGTTATACAAGAACTACACTGGTGGTTCTTTTAGTGAAGCACTGACACGTCAATAAAGTTTTTTAAACCAATTCTGTGTTTTATTTGGTCGAACAAAAATAAGAACATTATATATTATAAAAAAATTACAAAAACAGAAAAGAAATAATAAAAGACATCGAAGTACTCAATAAAGATGATTCTAAAAACAAGAAAAAAAATGGATTTCCCCAGAAAACAACGACCTGTATGAATATACACCAACCAGACATATACAAGACTTGCAAGGCGAAATAAAAGATTTAGATCAAGCAAATGAAGGCTCTAAAAGAAACGGAAAAATACGGCTCCAACTACACAACAATGAAGAAATTAAATAAAGATATCCACCGGTCAATCCGAAATGACGTAAGAAAAAACAATACAAGAGAAATAACTAAAATAATTCAAGAAAACAAAAGTTTTGAGGCGAAATACGAACAACATAGGTAAAATAAGTAAAAAAAAATAAAGATTGAAATATTACTACTGATAGAACCAAAATCCTTGAGTTTGTTCCTTTTATCGCGAAATGTATGAGAATGCGAGCACCGACGAAAGGCAAGGTCAGCCCCCGCCCAAAATCACAAACCAGTCAATATCGTCCGTCACAAGTCAATATAATCCATGTATAAATATAAAATTAGATATTTCGAATGCGCGCTATCCAGCGAAACCACGACGGACATTTGAATGATTTTATACTCTATCAGAGATATGGAAATGTTGCTATCCTCATCCCCAAACACTATGTAAATTAGGTTGGCTCCCTTGACAGGTCAATAAAGTAGTTGTCATTCTGTATTGCACAAGTGAAGACGTGTTTTATTCTCTCCATTCCAGTATCCATGTTTAATATATATAATTGTATGAAAGATCGAAGCTCTACATTGGTTTGGAGGCAGAGATGTTCGAATAATTGCAAATTTATATTGGACTCAAACAACATCAGTTTTAGTAGATGTGGACTCACAGGCTCTCAATATTAAAAGAGGAGAACGGCAGGGATGCCTCTTGTCACCCTTGCTTTTCAAAGTTTACTCCGAAAGAATTTTCTGAAAAACATGAAGTAATATTTGTGAACGTTGAAGTATCAATAATTTGCGATATGCAGACGATACAGTACTCCTAGCTTCTAGTCAAGAAGATATGTTAACACTACTTGATAGTTAATTACTATTTAACTGGGAATAAGCCACAATTAAAGATAAAAATACGTTTATTGACGTTTCAATTTCCACTTCGGAAATCGTTCTCAAAATACAAACAGTAAAATGTCAATAAACGTATTTTTATCTTTAATTGTGGCTTATTCCCAGTTAAATAGTAATTAATTTACAATGCCACCAGAAAATAGCTTCAGAACAATACTACTTGATAGTGTCGTTCAGAGTTGTAGGGAGGCAGGTCTGGATCTTAATATACAGAAAACCAAAATACTCGTAATAAGTAAACAAAAGCATATAAAACCGTCTATATAATAATAGCAAACTTGAGCAAGTTGATAAAATTGTTTACCTTGGATAGCAATTAAATTGTAACGCAGAAAGTCACGGCGAAAGTAGACCTACAATAGAGCAGGCTAATGCTGCATTGAGGATCCGCCTACTTCGCTGCTACGTATTCTCGGTCTTACTTTCTGGTGTCGAGTCCTGGACTGTGAATAAAATCGATCTAAATCGCCTTGAAGCTTTCGAAATGTGTGTTTCGAAGAATTTTAATAGTTTCCTGAGTGGAGAAGATTTGAAACTCCACAATACTTGAACGTCTCAGCAAGACTATTGAGATCATAAAAACTATTAAGCAGAGAAAGCTCGAATATTTCGGACATGTAAAGAGAGGTCCCAAATATAGGTTGCTACAAAATATGCAAGGAAAAATAGCAGGCAAACGCAGTCCAGGACGAAGAACTTGCGAGATTGGTATTGTGTTGATACAAGCATGCTATTTAGGGTATCAGTGAATAAAATAAGCTATGGTAAGATAGCTATGATGGTAACCAACGTTCTGAAAGGACATGGTGCATGAAGAAGTACTCTGAAACGTTTTTCCAAAATAAATATATCTAAATATCAAATTGAGAGTTTTCAAACAAGAAAATTACGCCGTCCACTTTTTGTGGCCACAAAGAAATCTTATTGATCGATTAGTTTAGCATTAAACTATAAGAAGAAAGTAATGTTTCGAAAAATCATCCAACAGAAGATTTCTGCAAACTGTACAAGCATATCACAACAGACATTGGGCAAAAGCCAAATGAAACACTTCTTGGTGTAAAGTGTAGGATAAAGAAATAAAACAAATATTTGCGCCAAAGATACAAAATATATATTTTTTTATTAATGTTCAATCATTTTACAGTAAAATCTTGGCGCGTAATAAAGTTTCATCTTGATCGTAAACAATTTTTTTACATTTTTTTTATTCATTTGTACTTAAAAATGACTTATGTCTATATTATACAAATCATGTAAAACTTGAATAAGATATTTGACAATATAGACAACATCCTTAACAGCTACAATAAATCTATAACATAAATACTTAAACCTATTAACAAATATACACAGTTGCAACAGAAAAATAAGTGAGTTGACAATTTTGTCCTGAGAATAAAAGTCTTTAACGGATAACCGACAACAACCGCATCAGATACTTCGATTTCAGTGTCAATGTCACATGTTGACAGTGATACTGCCACACTGTGACATTTGACAACATTATTAACAGTGATACTAGAACATTGCGACATTTGACAGCGTCGCTGTCACATTTTGATAGTAACAGGAATTACAATATCTTGAATTTGCTTTGGAATGCAGAGCTCGCTTTGTGTTTAAAGTAAGAAAAACTCTCAAAAATACATTTTCGATGTAAAAATGTCTTGCTTAACACCATGGTAATGTTACGAGTTTTGAAGTTTCCCCAATGAATGTCGCAAAAACGGAAAAATGTGACAGTTCTTTCAAATTGTTGTGGATAAATAGCCGTCGACTTTAAATGGATCTAAAATCTCACAAAATTTGTATTAAAATATGATAAAGTATGTTTTTGAATCAAGAAGACAATTTGAAGAGGATAGGGTTTTAATTTCGATCATTAGAGAAAAATTAATTTCGGATAAAAGTCATAGTTTTCGTTAAAATCATATATGATTAGGCTGTTGTCGATTTTTCGCCTTTGCAATTTGTTTCAACGTCGGAAATACAAGCACAGAGCACTAGAATCTCGACGTTTAAAATATAAAAAATAATAAATATACACGTCACATTGACGTAAGTGTAACTGCTCACCAAACTGTATAATCAGACTTCCAAAACACTTCGTGTTATTGCTAATGTTAGTTTTTAATAATATTAGAACCGGTTTAGACAAATTCACGGTAGCAGTCTATTTCGTTTAGGGTGCATCACATGGTAACTCACTGGATGTTGAGTGACAACTTTGACTAGATATGAGTCACATTAAAAGGAATGAGTCGAGCATTATGGCAGCAACAAATACAAAGGAAAGAAAACTCCAAAGGGTGAATATTCAAAGAGCCTAAGTGAAGCATTTTAAATGTCATACTAACGAGACAAAATAGTTATCGAGACAGGAAGAAAATCTAAGATAAATGGTGGAGGTGACGAGGGAAGAGTTACATTTTTGAGGAAATAAAGCATATTGTGTAGGACAATATCGCAAAAATGCTGTAAAGGAATAAAAAAAAGGAGACTATCTGCCAAATAAAATTATTGATGAGGACTGCCTGTGAGAAATGGGCGGGGTTTGTAGTATGGGAAAGGTCATATAGCTAATAAGTGTGAGAAGGTGCCAAAAGAGATAATTTATATATAGTCAAATTTCAATACAGTAAAATAACAAGAGTGATGACTTAACAATGAGCAAATCACGCAAGATCCAAAATATCATTCCTAAGAAAAATACGGCATAGAAAAAGAAAATCGTTACAATCGTAGGCAATCATCGCAAAATTAGAGCCCGATAAGAAAAAGCAAGATAATATCGTTTATTAAGACTGAAAATCGTTGAAAAAAGATGATTAGACCCAAATGATAGTCGAGTCCAGAATATAACTTAGTGATAATTCCAGAGAAAATCTAATACAGAACCAAGCAAACTGAGAAAATCATTACCAAAAATCTATGTGCGCCAGTATAGGAAAAAGGGTTACATCTGTCGAAAATCTTGTTAATAAGAACTGATGGGGATATAAAATGGAAGAACTTTAATGCTAGCAGTGAGTTTAAGAAGCAGTCTAAATTTCAGAGTTAAAAAGGGAAATACAACATTTGGAAAAGAATATTCAGAACTATTAAAAAGCAACAAAAAAAAGCGAATCACAGCTTAGGAAAAAGAAAAATACTCCGCCAAATATTTAAGTGGCCAGTAAATATGAAGAAAATGATTACAACAGCAACCAACCTCTAAAAGGAGATGGATAAAAGAAGCAAACGACCACATCTGTCAAAATATGTCACTATTATTAAATTATTTAATAAAAAGGAGTTTGTCTAAACGGCATTTCACGATTTAATTTATATATACACTTTGGCAACGAAAAAATAAAATAAATAAAAATCTTAAAAGTAACCCATTCGTCTCCCGTACTTCAAAAAAAAAAACAATGAACAAAAACAAACTATTTTCACTTAATTATCAATATATCACAATATTTTTCTCATTTTTACATAGTTATGGCGATATTTACATATAAAGGCCGATTTTATAAAAAAGATCAATTAAGATATACAACAGGGTTGCCATATTTCATTTTAACAAACGGTGCAAGAGATTTAGACGTTAATATTTGATTGTGAAAGTAAGAGACAGTGCTGTAGTATCGTTAAAGACTCTGCACGGCTTGTTGGAATGAAGTATAGCAGTTGATATGACCGCTATATTCGCACAAGTAAATAGAGGCTAGACATTCTAAAAAATACTTCGAGTATCAATAAATAAAAGTTGTTTATTGTATATATAAAAGTAAATAGGATTTCTATAGTGTCTGGGAAAATAAACGTTTTAAAAATTAATATACATAAAACGA